TTCTGCATCCCCCATTCCCACCTGCCCCCCTCTGCGTGGCTCCCGGGCTCTGCGCTCCCTTCCCGGAGCACAGCCCTCCGACCTGCTTTCCGCCCTGCTGGGCCAGCTCCCGGCTCCTAGTGTGCTTTGGCCGCGCTACAAAGCCCAGGAAATTCAAAGCAGATTGTGCCCTTCCCTGTGCTGGAATGAGGCGGCTTGGCTCCGGGCTTGCCCTGCCTGAGCTCCAGCGCTGCACCATGGGGCCTACCAGGGGCTCCCTGCTCCATGCTCACCCTGCCGGGAGAGCCCATCACAGGTGGCTTGGTACATGCTCCCCTAACTCCCAGGGCCGCTGTGTGGGTGGCAAGATCCCTTTGCCTTTTGGGCTCCGCTGCCAGGCAGAGTGGGGGGTGTCTGCCCCGCACTCCTGCGCCCGTCGTGCGCCCAGCGCGCCAGCCCCCGCTCCCAGGCCCTGCAGGGCTGGGCTAGGGAGGGAACGGATGTTTGACTAGCTGATAACCAAATGCTTATTGGACAGTTGACACACTCGTCATAGTCGCTCCCGCCCCCCTTGCTGCCGCTGTCGGAAAGGGGGGAAGAGGAGGGGGAGCCTGGGGTCCCTCCCCTGCTGATCCAGGGCTCCATGCGGCGCTGCCGCTTTGAAACACCTTGTGGAGCTAAAGGCCTTGCTACTGCAGCCTTTCAAAGTGGCAGCGCCACATGGAGCTGGGGACTCAGAGTCCCCCACTGGCCCCATGCTCCCTGCGGCACTTTCGCTCCAAAGGCCGAGGCGCCCTTATGGACTAATCGAATAGTCAGTTCAAGTTGCAGCGACTATTCCATCCGCTAACTGACCCCTAGGCTGGGCAGAGGCCTGGCGCGAAGCAGCTGCCGGATCCGTGTGGTTCTCAGGCTCCCTCGCAGCCCGGGGCTTGGCCCCACGGTGCTCTGCCTCCCCCGGGCTGACAGGCCGTGCCCACACTCGCAATAGGCCCTGCTCTCAGCCCAGCCATGGGTGCTACACACCAGCTGGCTTTGTGGGTACAACCCAGGCTCGGCCTCATCTTGCTTAGGGGGCACTGCCCCACACAGAGAGCTGCCCTGAGAGCACAGGCCAAGGCGCTCAAACCCAGTAGAGTTGGGCGGGCTCAGCCCCCAGGACGCAGGAGCCCAAGGTTCAACCAGGCCGAGCAGGGGCCTGACCTGAGCCCCCCACAGCCCAGGGGATCCCATGCTGCTGCCCACAACGGCCTAAGAGCCTTTCCCGCAAACCTCGGACCAAGGCCTCATTTTGCACCAGTGTTGCTACAAATCTCTGGCTGGCTGGGCCCAGTAGAGTTGGGCGGGCTCAGCCCCCAGGACGCAGGAGCCCAAGGTTCAACCAGGCCGAGCAGGGGCCTGACCTGAGCCCCCCACAGCCCAGGGGATCCCATGCTGCTGCCCACAACGGCCTAAGAGCCTTTCCCGCAAACCTCGGACCAAGGCCTCATTTTGCACCAGTGTTGCTACAAATCTCTGGCTGGCTGGGCCTGACCACTCCCCCGCATCAGCCGTTGGAGCCCACCGGGCGCCGGAGA